GACGTCATCACGTTTTACGCACAGCGCATGCGTCACTCTGTAAATTGAAGTTTGGTTTGGTGCGTTGAGGTGAAAACATTTCTATGACCTGAAGTTTATAAAGTATAAAAATGTCATGACACCTGGGATGACAGTGTTTAGTCATTTATCTTCAGAACTTATGAATGATTATCAATAGTGATTAATGACGTCATTTAAACACAATATTCTTTAGACAAAGATGAATTTAATAATTTTTGTACATTTCTGACTTATTATTTTCTGATTTCTTTTCCTCTTTCCTCGCTGCATGATGTGGGTGTTGTAGTTTCTTGAAGGTCTGGAGGGACTCTGACAGCTGAGAGCTGATTTCATGGTGTTGATTTATCTACTTTAATGTTCTCGACTCTGCAGGTCAACTTGTGAATCATTTTAACACCATGCTCCATGCATTTGCACTTTGTATGTTCTGTTCTTTATTTAGTATATGTGACTCTCCCTGCAAACTACTTCACCTGCATGTACAAATAAAGTCACCTGATCACATCAGGACAAACAGACTCAAGGACAGCTTCTTCCCCAGAGCCATAACCACACTGAACCTGGACCTGCGTTGACCGTCCCACCCTCACCACATACTGTGCAATATTTATTTTATGTTTCTGCCATATCTATTTATATTCTGTTATGCTACCACCTGTAAATAACTCCTACCATACATTGCCCATCCTACCTGAATGACAGTTCCTTTGTTTAATTTTCTTCTTCTGTTGTTTTTAGCTGTGGATGCTTGTATGTGTGTGCACTTTAAGGTGAAGCCAAATCATTTTGTTGTACAATTGTATAATGAAAATAAAGACATTATATTCTATTCTATACATTTCACTTTTAAGTAGATCAGGGTTAGATTTTTGAAAGCTGGTTTGACATATTTAGTTCTTTCAACATGTTCTACCATCGTGAAACACCAGCAGAGACTCCGTGTCGCCTTTTACAGAATAACAAACTAACACTGTTTATCGTCTCACTCCATTTGACTCATTTATTATTCAAGATTTCAGGGGAAGCATCAAGATGGCCCAAAATATCTTTTATAATGATTCTTCCAGAATAACTTTATTGTCATTGTGTAGATTGTGAGAAAACAGGAAGTATTATACTTTATAATAAAAGCTTATAGACACAGAGCACCACTTCTCGATGGGTAGCAGTATTCTGCACAACACCCCACTAAACAAAACAAACCGTGTTATCAGTTATTTTAAATTTAACCAATCACATGACTAGACTCTTACGTCATTCAAACGTTGACGTCATTATCGTGAGAATCATTAAACTGTTCATTAATGTTAGCATGCTAATCTCAGTTAGCATGCAGGTCACTGTTACACGTTGTTTTGGGTGTTTGTGATGACGTAATGTTTGTGTCAGGTGATTTTTAGGTGTTTGTGATGACGTAATGTTTGTGTCAGGTGATTTGTAAACTCTCTGTAACACACAGAACAATGTTACGAATGACTTGTTGTAAATAATTTAAAAACGATGTGAAAGTGGTAGCACTGGTTCGTAGCACAGATCCCTCCGCCCCACCTCATAGACCTGAAAGAAGCGGCGGAGGGATAAAGTAGTTCCCTTTGAACAGACATCGTGCACGGCACCACCTGCCAACACAACTCCTCCATGGAAACCTCTGATTCTCTGCTTTTTCTTTCAAAACTAAACTTTTAAAAGTGGATCTTTTTACTTAATTGGTATTTACTTAGTTAATGAAAGGACCGGATACGGTAAGAAACAGCTTCCTTTATTCTTTAAAGTGAAAATCATAAGAAGTTAATGAAGTCACTTAGTAGCTGCTAGGCTAGGTAGCTGTTAGCTTGTTAGCTTTATGCTAATTTGGCTAAGGGGGGGGGGGGGGGGGGGGTGAACTGGTGTGAGGAGCAGAGGGAGACCAACCTCACTGCATCAGAACACTAACCTCCCAGTTTATTAACAACACCTGAACGTCCCATCAGGAGACAGATCACAGTCATTTAGCCTGTTAGCTGTCTGTTAGCTTCTCTGCTTAGCATGCTAACTCAGTGCAACATGTTTCAGCCATGCTGCTTCATGTATATTCCGGTTTATACAACAATAACAACTAATTACTACAAATAATATGAACAGTTACTACTTTACTCATAAATAGGCAGCTAATGTGGTAATTTAATCCAGATTTAGTGAAAACAGAGAGAAGCTAAATGAACATAGCTAAAAGTCATCAAGATGTTTGTCAGACTCATTTATGTTTAATCAACAAGTAATGTTACACACTGAAAGTTATTTACATATCAAGCTATTTAATAATATAATTATAGAAGATTTCATAAACTTTTAAACAATTTATTGACTTTTAAAATAAACCTGAGAATCTGAGGTCACACAGAGCTCTGAGGGGTTTTATTAATATTTATTTATTTGTTCATTTGATGCATGAAGGTGTTACATCTATCATCATGAAGGTGTTACATCTATCATCTGTCATCATGAAGGTGTTACATCTATCATCATGAAGGTGTTACATCTATCATCTGTCATCATGAAGGTGTTACATCTATCATCATGAAGGTGTTACATCTGTCATCATGAAGGTGTTACATCTATCATCATGAAGGTGTTACATCTGTCATCATGAAGGTGTTACATCTGTCATCATGAAGGTGTTACATCTATCATCATGAAGGTGTTACATCTGTCATCATGAAGGTGTTACATCTGTCATCATGAAGGTGTTACATCTGTCATCATGAAGGTGTTACATCTGTCATCATGAAGGTGTTACATCTATCATCTGTCATCATGAAGGTGTTACATCTGTCATCATGAAGGTGTTACATCTATCATCTATCATCATGAAGGTGTTACATCTATCATCTATCATCATGAAGGTGTTACATCTGTCATCATGAAGGTGTTACATCTATCATCTATCATCATGAAGGTGTTACATCTGTCATCATGAAGGTGTTACATCTATCATCATGAAGGTGTTACATCTATCATCATGAAGGTGTTACATCTATCATCATGAAGGTGTTACATCTGTCATCATGAAGGTGTTACATCTGTCATCATGAAGGTGTTACATCTATCATCATGAAGGTGTTACATCTATCATCTGTCATCATGAAGGTGTTACATCTATCATCATGAAGGTGTTACATCTGTCATCATGAAGGTGTTACATCTGTCATCTGTCATCATGAAGGTGTTACATCTGTCATCATGAAGGTGTTACATCTGTCATCATGAAGGTGTTACATCTATCATCTGTCATCATGAAGGTGTTACATCTATCATCATGAAGGTGTTACATCTGTCATCATGAAGGTGTTACATCTATCATCATGAAGGTGTTACATCTGTCATCATGAAGGTGTTACATCTATCATCTGTCATCATGAAGGTGTTACATCTATCATCATGAAGGTGTTACATCTATCATCATGAAGGTGTTACATCTATCTTCTGTCATCATGAAGGTGTTATATCTATCATCTGTCATCATGAAGGTGTTACATCTGTCATCATGAAGGTGTTACATCTGTCATCATGAAGGTGTTACATCTATCATCATGAAGGTGTTACATCTGTCATCATGAAGGTGTTACATCTATCATCTGTCATCATGAAGGTGTTACATCTATCTTCTGTCATCATGAAGGTGTTACATCTATCATCTGTCATCATGAAGGTGTTACATCTGTCATCATGAAGGTGTTACATCTATCATCATGAAGGTGTTACATCTATCATCTGTCATCATGAAGGTGTTAATCTGTCATTCATGAAGGTTACATCTGTCATCATGAAGGGTTACATCTATCATCATGAAGGTGTTACATCTGTCATCATGAAGGTGTTACATCTATCATCTGTCATCATGAAGGTGTTACATCTATCTTCTGTCATCATGAAGGTGTTACATCTATCATCTGTCATCATGAAGGTGTTACATCTGTCATCTGTCATCATGAAGGTGTTACATCTATCATCATGAAGGTGTTACATCTATCATCTATCATCATGAAGGTGTTACATCTATCATCTATCATCATGAAGGTGTTACATCTATCATCTATCATCATGAAGGTGTTACATCTATCTTCTGTCATCATGAAGGTGTTACATCTATCATCATGAAGGTGTTACATCTATCTTCTGTCATCATGAAGGTGTTACATCTATATCATGAAGGTGTTACAATCTATCATCATGAAGGTGTTACATCTATCTTCTGTCATCATGAAGGTGTTACATCTATCATCATGAAGGTGTTACATCTATCATCATGAAGGTGTTACATCTGTCATCATGAAGGTGTTACATCTATCATCTGTCATCATGAAGGTGTTACATCTGTCATCATGAAGGTGTTACATCTGTCATCATGAAGGTGTTACATCTGTCATGAAGGTGTTACATCTGTCATCATGAAGGTGTTACATCTGTCATCTATCATCATGAAGGTGTTACATCTATCATCATGAAGGTGTTACATCTATCATCTATCTATCATGAAGGTGTTACATCTGTCATCATGAAGGTGTTACATCTATCATCTGTCATCATGAAGGTGTTACATCTGTCATCTGTCATCATGAAGGTGTTACATCTGTCATCATGAAGGTGTTACAGCTATCATCTGTCAGCATGAAGGTGTTACATCTATCATCATGAAGGTCTTACATCTATCATCTGTCATCATGAAGGTGTTACATCTATAATCATGAAGGTGTTACATCTATCATCTGTCATCATGAAGGTGTTACATCTATCATCATGAAGGTGTTACATCTATCATCATGAAGGTGTTACATCTATCATCATGAAGGTGTTACATCTGTCATCATGAAGGTGTTACATCTATCATCTGTCATCATGAAGGTGTTACATCTGTCATCTGTCATCATGAAGGTGTTACATCTGTCATCATGAAGGTGTTACATCTGTCAGCATGAAGGTGTTACATCTATCATCATGAA